TTAAAGATTTCATTGGACTGGGTATAAGAAGTTGAAAGGAGTAGAAGTGACAGAATGAGCGGAACGATAACTGATGTGTGAGGAAAGGAGGCTTGAGGCCCCTAACCATAAGTTCCAAAACTTGTTCTTAGAAGTTACCACTGCTACGAGTTTAAAGCACGCTCCGGGATTAGGCGAGCTCACTTGTTCCATCCCCGATCGCGGTAGGCAGGCGGACAAGCGTTGATGTCGTGCCCCTTTTGCGGCTTGAAAGTGCGCGACAAATGCGCTGGAAGCTCGCTACACCCGCAATCCACACCCTAGTCCGCAAGCCCCACCTTCCGCTGCCACGCTGGCGCTGCGTAGTCCGCAAGCCCAACCTTCCGCTGCCACGCTGGCGCTGCGAGAAGAGCGCTACGAGCTTGGTGTTAACATTGCGGCTCAATCTCACGCATCTCTATACGTGGCAAGAAGGGTTGGACAGGTTTTACAAGAGCTTATCAAGACGGGGGTTTCTCTTTTTTAGTTTCTTCTCCTGTCCCCTGTCACTCCATCTTATCTTTTACCTATGTGACGGTAGTTGTTTACTCAGGATTTTTCATTAGTGTTTTCTCATCATCGCTGTATAGGTCTACCAATTCTGCTCATCCAACAATAAATATCGTCAAAAGTAGGCACACAACACATAGGCAGAAACCAATAGACTATTAAGAAAGGAAACAAAAATAGCGATAACAAGAGAAGGAAACTTTTCCATGAGTCATCCATCTACGCCAAAATTCTTATCCATTTGCGCCGAAATATGTACTATGTCCGTATCGATTTCTTGCCTGAAGCGTACTGGGCAACTTTGGCTATCCACTCGTAAACTGGTCCAAACCCCGCCCTTCTCCAGCACAAAGTGAAAAGCTGCTGAAAGCGAGGGGGACCTTGTTTGAGGCCCAACTGGGCGTTGATTTCTTTTCCTCTTCCAGATATATCCTCATCTCAGCTTCATAATTGAACTCCCTCGAACAAATATTTTATCACGAAGCTTGCCTATAATCAAATACTGTGGACTTACACATGATTTAATTTGTTGAAGGTTTTAGTTACTGCAACGCGTTTCCCTGGTGGAAAACACATGTTCAGATATATTGCAATCAGCCACCCAATCTCGTATGCACAGTATGGTGCTAGAAGTGGGCGAGCGATGGTCTCCATATCTGTTGTGTGGAGTGTAAGTGTTATCGTTGGTCTGCCAATTCTACTTGGTGTGAATCCGATGGAGGACAAAGTGAGCTATGCTTTTTTCTAATGCTCACTTATCTTAAACGGCTTCTGAAGTATTCAAAATGCACATTATTTTCTGTGTACTGAGAGCAGGGACGTTGATGGGAATGTAAGTAGCGTATCAGGCCGCAGAGAGTCTTTGCTGATTTTACCTACAGTTGGAAAATTCAAATTTTTTTCTAGTCTTCTTCATTTGAACAGTTCTTACCACATTCACTCACAGCCACTGTCATTGCCCGACAAAAGTTTGAACACGTCCTTTGTGAATGCTGAGAAGTTCGGAATGAAGGAACTGTTGAATCGCCCTTTCCTTGTTAGCGATAACGTATCTTTCACCCTTCTAGAAATGTTAGTAGATGAAACGTGGTACTGTTGGAGGGAGTTTTGGCAAACACGATTCCGGAGGCAAGGAGCACGGAGCATTTCATAAGTTCCGACTTATTTCCCGCTTCCCGTTATAAGGTTTTTGAACATGTACGAGCTCGATTCATCCGCCTACTTGCTAGTCGTACAGATCGCGTGACTAGCTGCGTGGGTCCTTGCGCTTAACCTTGCCGCCGCGTTGTTGTAGGAATGCTGCCGATTCTTTGATTGGCTTTAATTCGTTTAATTGTGTTTCATATGTCTCTGTTTGTATAAGTGCATATATAATTGCAACTGCCTTTCTTGCTGGCACGACCCAGCAATAAATGCCGGCAGAGCAAGCTAGTTTGGACAGCTCGTCCTGGCCCCACCCCTCCTTATTTTTTGAGGAAGGGGAGCCTTTGTTTGTGGGCTTCATCGGCGGTTTTCTTTGTTTCTTTTTTTTACGGTCAACTTGTCTCCAAAATTACATGATCGACTGCTTCTACCCCACCAAATCGATTTAGGGGTGTTGCTTCAGGCACGTCAGGCACTTTCGCGCTGTAAATTCATCGGCTGGCTTAGCTCGCTTTGTGACCCAAACGAACGCCGTAAAGGAGACAGTGACAAGTATGAGCAGTAACATTTGGCATTTTCTCAGTTCCAGTAAACTTGTAGATGGAAAAACCAGAGAATATGGAGGAATACCTAATCCCTCCTCCTACATATTTACTTCCCACAAATTCCCAGATCGATATGCCAGTCCTTTGTAAATCCCAAAAGTACTGTCGTTGTGACCTAATATAACAGTTTGCAATTTCTGCACGTTCTCGAAGGTGACCTGTCTAATGGTATAAACACAACTTTAATAGAATTCCAGCAATGCGAACTAGGAAACGCATATTTCAACATTCTTTCGTCTCTGTTTTCGTTCTTCTTCCCATGCTTGGCAATGATTGTGCTGTATACCATCATATTCCGACGCCTACGTCAAAGAGAACGTGCTAGAAGCCTTCGCCAAGTGACAAAAAAGGACAACTGCAGAGTGAGTTATTCCAGTATGCATCACTTATGTACAAGAGAGAAGACAACAGTCTTGAGATTGGGAACGGGTTGTATTCTAGTTGACGGAGATCCGACGGGACTAGGTGGAAATGTACAGGGTGGGCAAAATCACGATAACCAGGATTGCCGCTATCAATTATCAATTCTTACTCATCAGGAATTTTTTATGTATTCTGTATACTTACTTTGATAACTCAGTGTTCCATATTCGATTTCTTCACATGAAATATGTTAACTCCGGCATGGACAATCTTTTAATTCCTCGAGAAATAGTTACTACTACGCTACGACGAGCTGTTTGATTGTGTTGCATTGCAATACAATTCAAGCTCTTTGAAACTTTCGTCGACCACCATCACAAAGTTTGATAGGCTGTTCATCAGCATCAATAAGCCTGAACCTTAAAGGATTGCTTGTCTGACATCATGGGTAATATCTCGAAGTCATGTGCGAAGAAGTGCTAGAAGCCAGCTCGCTCAATACGTCGTTTGGTCGCTGAAACTGCTGTCGAGCGCACTTTCTTACCACGCCTTATTTGCACACACCTTAAAAGGAAGTTTACAAGCATAAAATGCCTGAAATCTAACCGATGAGGGGAATTTA